GATCTATACGCAATTGTGATATAGATAACATGATTGTGTCAACCAAGTCAGCGAGCCTGACCACCCGATCCCGAGCGTCTAACGACAAGCATGGGTTGCTGAAGACTGCCATATATAGCTGGAATATTGCTGAGTGCGGCATAAAACAACAACAACAAAGATCAAGGTCATTTGCAAATTATTCAAAGGAAATTCAACTTTAAACAAAGTTTTATCAATGCATTGCTGTAATAGTCTAAAATATTTTTTGCAGACACCAAGATATTTTCAGGCGTACATGTTGACTGCATTCTCAAGAGGTCACTTCGTGATTTGGGTATTATTTGCAGTATTTTTCAAAACCCCAAATCCGCCACTGTTCTGCACGACTACCCAGGAGTTCACCCCTATACGCGTTTAGAACGGGGGACACTCCCACTCAACGGGTTGTAGACGAGTTCAGCTATCGTTCAGACCCGATCCAGTACCATTGTCAATGGTACGCTACAGGTTTTCAGTTGAATTTGGCAAATACATCAGTGAGAATAGAATAATGATGTACAAGAAAGCGATGACATGCGAATCTCGACCTAAGGAGCTATATAACTGACCATGCACTTAACTACTGTTTGGCTGTTCGCCTTACCATTCGACAAGGTCCAGTCGACCCATTGTGACAAGCCCAATTGAAACAGTTGTGAAGTTAGATGCGCTTTCTTTGCTAAGGGAACAGTCAGGTAGAAACAGTTGTCCATATGGTCAATTGTTCATAGATTCCGGACATTTTCGTTTCGATTCATGCCGATAAAGGTCATTTAAGGTGATAACAAATAAAGTACATTCGTTCGACAATTTATGCTTTTATTACAGGCCCCTCACCAATTTCTACATCTGGTTTTGATGCGATGTCAGTGTAGAATAATTTTGTGGCTTTGAAAACGTCGTTGTATATCGTATATTAATGTCTTTTACAGTTGTCTTTATTTGCTAGAACAACACTGATATATTAACAACAATACTGATATATTAACAACAATACTGATATATTAACAACAATAAAGAGGCGACTGACGGGATCGGGTGGTCAGGCTCGCTGACTTGGTTGACACATATCATCCTATCCCAGTTGTGTAGATCGATGCTCATGCTGTTGATCACTGGATTGTCTGGTCCAGACTCGATTATTTACAGCCCGCCGCCATATAGCTGGAATATTGCTGAGTGTGATGTAAACAACAAACAAACAAATAACAACAGTAACCCATTTAACTGGCTGGTACATTCCTTGTATAACCTCAATGATCCAGTTCGTGGAAATTCATAACAGTAAATAAGTGATATAATCAGTTTTAACCCAATACCGATAATAATAATAATAATAATAATAATAATAATAGTGAATTTATATAGCGCATTAATCCATGCTCAATGCATGCTCTAAGCGCACATATATGTGGGTATTAAGAGTCATTCTAGAAAGGCACTATTAAATATGTAGGTCTTTAGCTCAGTTTGGAAGGAGGCAAGAGATGAAGACTGTCTGAGATTGACTGGGAGATCGTTCCATTCCTTTGAAAATGAAACCGACACTATAACACATCCAGGACACACCTGTTGAGTATTATGATTGTTAGGGCATTCGAATCATCAACAATAAAACATTTATAACCCCCATCGTACATCACACAATTATCCTAAGGAAGACAGAATGTCAGTTGAGAGCAATTATTGAAGGAATAGCAGTCTCACAGTCCCGGGGACCGCCGTCATACAGCTGGAATAGGCTATTGCTGAGTGCGGCGTAAAACTAACTCACTCACTCACATTCCCAGGACCACATTATTTCACCTTCAGCTCAGCCGTGAAAGTCTAGATTTTACCCAGGTTCCTTCTGTGAATCCCGGTCATCTCACTGAGGTTCCTTTTCAATTTAAATGAAATTATTTGTTTCTATCAAAATCTTCAGAGACTGAGCGTTAGTCAATTCAAGTATCGGGGTGCACACCGTTGTGTAGTCGGGATCTCACAATCCCCGAACCACATTATTTCCCCGTTGCATAGCACTTCCAGTAACGCTAACTAGTATTTTAGACGCAGTGTTTGCGATTTTTCAAAGTTTGTTTTTATTCTGAACAGGCAGGTTCCTGAGTTGGTTCGGGAACCTGTCTGTTCAGAATAAAAACAAACTTTAAAAAATCGTAAACACTGCGTCTAAAATTATTGGGCTTCCTATCGAAAGTATCGGCAGTTTTTATGAGCAGTAAATTTCAAAAAAGGCAAACAAAATTTTAAGTGATCCTACTCACATACTCTTTTCTGAATATTCATCATTACCTTCTGGACGCAGGCTGTGTATGTCGACTTTTAGAACAAACAGGGTTTGCCACTCATTTGTTCCAGCTAGTATTAGATGTATTAACAACAAATTCTGTGAATGACTTGTCTTTTAATTGTCAAAATTTTATTCAATATCTATGTTTGTGTACTAAATTGATGTATTTATATCATGATTATTTCATGATTACCAATTGCAATGTTATGTATGGCTATGAATTAAAAACTGGAGAACGTATGATGCAAAACAAATTTCCCTTGGGACAATAAAGAATTATCTTATCTTATCTTATCTTATCTTATCTTATCTTATCTTATCTTATCTTATCTTATCTTATCTTATCTTATCTTATCTTATCTTATCTTATCTTATCTTATCTTATCTTTAAATGAAGCAAGTCTACATTTCCTGAGGAATCTCCCATCTCGCTGAGGCGCCTTTTCAATTGAAATTATTACATATATTCAGAGACTAAGCGTTAGCCTAGTCTCGGGGTAAACACCGTTGTTCAACGCGTGGAGGATGGGAACCTCACGAGCGACCAACGCAGTGACACATACGTTGCCCATGAGTGAAAGGGTCTTCTGAATAGGAGTGTTTCTAGTATAGCTTCACCTTATGTTGTTTTTTCATTATGTAAAATCAGTTCATATTTTTTCACAAACAAGTTTACATCCGTGTCTAGAAAATATGTAACAACGCGTGATGTTTGTTTAGATGCAGCGAGCCGCAAGTTGGCGCAACCTTTAAAGGAACACTTTTTTCTGGAGTAGATATCTATAAGATAAATGGAATAGGAAATATATCCTGAATGAATGGTATATGGCTTCGTGAACTTGAACCTATTGGTCTCAAAGTTTGTTCCTAACCGACCATTTGGTTCAAAGATTCAAATACAAGTTTGTAGAACATGTTGCATTAACATGTTTTAACAGCGTTCCGGCTTGTGAACCGCATGTGGTTACACATCACAATACTGTTGTCCGCGCTACTATTTACAATGCACAACTGACCTCAGACGGCACTCATTCGTAATTTCTGCGATAAAAGTACATCCACTGAAGAATATTCGGTAATGTGCAACATGAATGTTTCTTTACTTGTTGTACCATACAGTAATCAAATATTTCATTTTTTAATATCTAATCTCTTTGAATGCAGGGGCCAGGGATTCACAGGCCGCCATGTTATAAATGGACAATACTCAGGCTGACCTTACTAATACATGTGACAGGTTATAGATGCATGACACTGGTGACAAACCGCCCTATCATAGATGCATGACACTGGTGACAAACCGCCCTATCATAGATGCATGACACTGGTGACAAAACGCCCTATCATAGATGCATGACACTGGTGACAAAACGCCCTATCATAGATGCATGACACTGGTGACAAAACCGCCCTATCATAGATGCATGACACTGGTGACAAACCGCCCTATCATAGATGCATGGCACTGGTGACAAACCGCCCTATCATAGATGCATAACACTGGTGACAAACCGCCCTATCATAGATGCATAACACTGGTGAAAGGCCGCCGTAACATGCATGCATAATACTGGTGACAGGCCGCTGTAACAGAGATGCATAATACTGGTGACAGGCCGCCGTATACATGCATGCATAATACTGGTGACAGGCCGCTGTAACAGAGATGCATAATACTGATGACAGGCCGCCGTATACATGCATGCATAATAATGGTGACAGGCCGCTGTAACAGAGATGCATAATACTGATGACAGGCCGCCGTAACATGCATGCATAATACTGGTGACAGGCCGCTGTAACAGAGATGCATAATACTGATGACAGGCCGCCGTAACATGCATGCATAATACTGGTGACAGGCCGCTGTAACAGAGATGCATTATACTGGTGACAGGCTGTTGTAACATAGAGTTATAAATACTGGTGAAAGTTCACAGTAACATGCATGGATGACACTGGTGACAGACTGCCGTAACATAGATGCTTAATACTGGTGATAGGTCGCCGTAACATGCATGCATAATACTGGTGACAGGCCGCCGTAACATGCATGCATGACACTGATGACAGGCCGCCGTAACATGCATGCATAACACTGATGACAGGCCGCGGTAACATGGATGTATAATTGTGAGAACAGAGGAAAGTACATCATACTGGTGACAGGCCGCAAAATAATGTTGATGTCCCATATTAGAAAATAACAACTCATCCACATCGATTTGCAGTCCGCCATGAACCCTCACTGACCTGATTCATGCCATTTAGTCAAGTCACAATGATTAACATATTTCCGGAAAAAGACGAATTGAATAATGTTATTTTAGTATTCAGGTAAATGTCCCAGCAGGTGTCAAAGCTGATTTAAATTTTAGACTATTTTTAAGATAAAATATGACGTGCCATGTTTTTGTGTGCAATGGATCTGATCAATACGCTTGTTCCTGAAGCGGTAAGACCAGGACATGTTTTCCCACACCGATGTAACTATGATATAATTGATTTATATGTACTCCACGTTTCGTGATATTTTGTCAAAGCTCACAGCGACTAAGGAAAATCATTACGGAAACTAATTCCTAATAAGGATTTATTTATCAACTTACTTTTCGTTGAATCAACAGAAGGTCGGTGTAGTATTGCCAAACGTAATAAGTTGTCTCGCTAGTATCATTCTACCCTTTCATGGCAGATGTAAACACAGAACCGAAGTTTGGTCGCTGAAGTAATTTTCACAACAAAACAACATTTCCAGTTCATCGTTTCATTTTGACATTTGCAAAGATGAATTAGGTAAGTTTGATTTTATATGTAATAATCTGGGTAACGACATTTTCCATGCAAGTTTTCACGTCTTTGGCGTTCTCTGAGCGGGTTACGATCACATTCCACTCCAGTTGACCACCGTGCGACAGGTTGCACTACGCGCGTTAGTGCATTCGTCTTAATGTCGAAAATAAGATAATCGTGTTCGGTAACGTAAGAAAATACAGTAAAATCTTGCAAGTGTGCATTCAGACCAGTTCATCCGGATGTACGTATTACGGTATTTGTTTGTATCACGGGTTCAGTGTGTAGTGATTGGAAATAGCGCAGATATAGCCGAGAGCCGCGATGCGGTCCCATACATCGCGGCCCTAGGGTCTAGTCTTGACTGTATAGGACCGCATCGCTGCTCTCGGCTAGCGCAGATCATGTTGTGTAAGGTATAACCGAACAAGCAGCTATTACCGAACACAATTTCATAACTGTATATTTTTCTAAAATCGCATATTGTGACAGTTACTTCTCTCTGCCTTGAGAGTGAAACTTCCTGTTCCTGCAAAACTGTTGTCCAGAGACCATATGTTATCCATATAAAATCTACCGGTTACATAACTTGGAAAATATAAACTAAACATGCAGAAAAGATAGAGGAGCAAAATACATCAAGTGGCATTTCATCGTGCACGTAATGGGAAGAGGACAATTTCCACCAATGGAGATTCCTTCCCAAACTCTTTGGGTGAGGTGAGATGAAATTGGGTTTAACCTGGTGCTTGGGAATATTTCGCTCAGATGACGACGTGCATGCGTGTGTATGTGTATGTGCGACTGCTTGTACTAGCCCAGACTTAAGCTGGTTTTATAGTGCTAGCCCACTGAGATACCATGCCGCAGTGAAGCATGAATACCCAACTCAGACACATTATACTGACTCGAAGCCGACCAGTCCTTGTTGTACCCACAAATGCCGAAGTCAGGCAGGGACCAACAAGTACCATATTTTAACGTCTTTTGGTATGACGAGGTCGGGGATCGAACTTCGTGACCTTCCGGCTCTCGGCGGACGCTCTAACCACTACACCACGGGCGGTCCAACTCTTTGGGCAGACTCATAATTTTAGGTATAAGTTAGGCTGAAGGGGTCATTGTTGACACAGGTACTACAGATATGTACCCAGGTACCTTTCTGTTTACAAATATGTACCCTAAACAAAGTAAAACTACAGAAACGTACCCGTTACCCTAAAAGGCGGACGAGTCCATATTCCGCAATCAAAAACCGAAAGCGCATATGTAGTTGTTCCTGTTCAACTGATTCCGAGTGGTATTCATGTGCATCGCGAAATATCCGTTACTGTGTATTCTCATTACTTACATAACGCAATCAAATATCAAATGTGTCTAATACAACAGTATGACAGTTCCGATCAAGAATACGACACAATGGGAATGGAATCGTCCTAGGGTACATTTCTGTATTCTCATTATGGCCAAGGTACCTGGGGTACATATCTGTAGTACCCGTGCCGACAACGACCACTTCAGCATAAGTTAACCATTTTTGTTGGGTTCAAATCTATGAGGGTACAGATCGTCTAGTATCCCACATAATTGTGTTGTTGTTGACAGCGCCTTGTGTCCTCTGACCTCGCACATGTTCTTGTAAAATAGCACGATAATAATAAGTCATTGAATAATGGAGAACATCGAACCATGGTAACGTGAGGATATACACTCATGTACTGTGATAAAAAGATTAAATGAGAATTCAGTCCAAAACAGGACATGATTTTTAAAGGTACTGTAAGCGTACTTATTTTCAAGCAGTGGTGCAATTTTAAGCGGAATTGACAGTTTAGTCTACATCGTAGCGGTCAATTATTCACGCTTAATCAGTAATTGCCGGAACTGCCAGCTGTCTCTTTTGCCGCCACTAATAGCAGTGAAAACAAACAGAGTGGCTTAACCTGTCGGCGGCATTTATTGCTTACTCACAGGAAATCCCTATCTATGCGATATACTAGTACACAGTAATCCGTTTAGTCACGGAAGTATTAAGTGCTTAGGAAATGAGATATTGTGATGCAAGTACTAGTATATAAAGAGATGAAAAACACATCAGTCTTATGTTCGAATTCTGACGATCTGATGATGGGATTGCGAATGTGGTTAAAGAAAGCACCTACCCCAAGACACCTGGACTTCCAGGTCCAGTACCTCTTTAAAATCATGTTGATTTTTCTCACACTATGCAATGCTTTGTTGGCCATGTATGGATTGTACAGTCAGCTTACTTTGTTATCTTATACAGGCGCATTTTAAAATATCACACATAAATGACAGACATGTTGCAAATAATGGAACAGATTATATCATGCAAATATTAGTAACAGACACAAGGAAACAGTTTCTAAACACGGTAAAGATATGACAATCTAGCTAACTAATAATCTTTTATACACAACAAACAGTTTAAAGTAGTGTTCACGAATGGTGTTTCAAAGTAACAGGACCCAAGTCCAGTAAGTTTCAGATGTCTGTCTGACCCATTGAAAATTCAAAGGACCCATAGCATATACTTAAACAAACATTTTAGATTTAACATTTCTTATAATTGGCAATGAAATTATTTACAAACATAAGATTTATGAACAGCAAACAAGTGTCACATGTTACATATATGGATATAACAACTTCAGTCAAAGTCATTGTGAAATATACAGTCAGACACTGGGCCCAGCGGGTTGTAGATTTCTGTCGGACGTTGGCGAATGTGCCAGATTTGTCAGAGGATCAGACGCTATTCGTGAACACTGTTCAAGTACACCATTCATTCGAATAGCACAACATGACTGTTAGGAGTAACCTTACAAGGGTGGTCGGAATGGCCAAGTCGACAAGAGTTAACAACTATGGAAAGTTGACAGTGTCAAATATCTATCAGCAGCAGGTTTGCTCGACAGAATTTACTCATCCTTATTTGTGAATATGATTCATGCAACATATGTTATGTCTGGGATTACACTTTCTGAATAAAGTACAAATGTAAATTGGCATGGCCCAAATAGGTCTAGTCTTGACTGTATAGGACCGCATCGCGGCTCTCGGCTAGCGCAGATCATGTTGTGTAAGGTATTACCGAACAAGCAGCTATTACCGAACACAATTTCATAACTGTATATTTTTCTAAAATCGCTTATTGTGACAGTTACTTCTCTCTGCCTTGAGAGTGAAACTTCCTGTTCCTGCAAAACTGTTGTCCAGAGACCATATGTTATCCATATAAAATCTACCGGTTACATAACTTGGAAAATATAAACTAAACATGCAGAAAAGATAGAGGAGCAAAATACATCAAGTGGCATTTCATCGTGCACGTAATGGGAAGAGGACAATTTCCACCAATGGAGATTCCTTCCCAAACTCTTTGGGTGAGGTGAGGTGAAATTGGGTTTAACCTGGTGCTTGGGAATATTTTGCTCATATGACGACGTGCATGTGTGTGTATGTGCGGCTGCTTGTACTAGCCCAGACTTAAGCTGGTTTTATAGTGCTAGCCCACTGAGATACCATGCCGCAGTGAAGCATGAATACCCCACTCAGACACATTATACTGACTCCGAGCCGACCAGTCCTTGTTGTACCCACAAATGCCGAGCGTCAGGCAGGGACCAACAAGTACCATATTTTAACGTCTTTTGGTATGATGAGGTCGGGGGATCGAACCCGTGACCTTCCGCTCTCCGGGCGGACGCTCTAACCACTACACCACGGAGGCGGTCCAACTCTTTGGGCAGACTCATAATTTTAGGTATAAGTTAGGCTGAAGGGGTCATTGTTGACACAGGTACTACAGATATGTACCCCAGGTACCTTTCTGTTTACAAATATGTACCCTAAACAAAGTAAAAATACAGAAACGTACCCGTTACCCTAAAAGGCGGACGAGTCCATATTCCGCAATCAAAAACCGAAAGCGCATATGTAGTTGTTCCTGTTCAACTGATTCCGAGTGGTATTCATGTGCATCGCGAAATATCCGTTACTGTGTATTCTCATTACTTACATAACGCAATCAAATATCAAATGTGGTTTATACAACAGTATGACAGTTCCGATCAAGAATACGACACAATGGGAATGGAATCGTCCTAGGGTACGTTTCTGTATTCTCATTATGGCCAAGGTACCTGGGGTACATATCTGTAGTACCCGTGCCGACAACGACCACTTCAGCATAAGTCAACCATTTTTGTTGGGTTCAAATCTATGAGGGTACAGATCGTCTAGTATCCCACATATTTGTGTTGTTGTTGACAGCGCCTGTGTCCTCTGACCTCGCACATGTTCTTGTAAAATCGCACGATAATAATAATTCATCGAATAATGGAGAACATCGAAACATGGTAACGTGAGGATATACACTCATGTACTGTGATAAAAAGATTAAACGAGAACTCAGTCCAAAACAGGACATGATTTTTAAAGGTACTGTAAACGTACTTATTTTCGCGTGGTGCAATTTTCGCGGAATTGACAGTTTAGTCTACATCGCGCGGTCAATTATTCACGCAATCAGTAATTGCCGGAACTGCCAGCTGTCTCTTTTGCCGCCACTAATAGCAGTGAAAACAAACAGAGTGGCTTAACCTGTCAGGCGGCATTTATTGCTTACTCACAGGAAATCCCTATCTGTGCGATATACTAGTACACAGTAATCCGTTTAGTCACGGAAGTATTAAGTGCTTAGGAAATGAGATATCGTGATGCAAGTACTAGTATATAAAGAGATGAAAAACACATCAGTCTTATGTTCCGAATTCTGACGATCTGATGATGGGATTGCGAATGTGGTTAAAGAAAGCACCTACCCCCAAGACACCTGGACTTCCAGGTCCAGTACCTCTTTTTAAAATCATGTTGATTTTCTCACACTATGCAATGCTTTGTTGGCCATGTATGGATTGTACAGTCAGCTTACTTTGTTATCTTATACAGGCGCATTTTAAAATATCACACATAAATGA